TAGGGAAAGGGGTAGTTTAGACTGCTGCTTGGTACATGTTTATCCCAAATTGCCATTTCAATCTTGGTGCTCAGGAAAAATGCAGTAGGGATGGGGGTGGGGGATGTACAAAAGGAGAAGAATTCATGACGAATGAATATGGATGTAGTGGGAAAGACAGAGGGAAAAGGAACTACATCCATGAGCTCTGACAGTACTGAAGAGCTGCACTTGGAACCAAAGCAAGAATAAGTCATTCTTTATCTACTCTGCAGTCATATCTATTACTAACCAAACTTTCCAAATAATCAGAATGAAACCACAGATAATCATGAAAACTACTTTTAAAAAAATGGTACTTTTAATCATCCCTAGCATCAGTGTTAGAAAATGTTTGTCAGGCTTTTAGTTTTTTTATCTTTAGGGTTTGTATTTTCAGGTCCTGCTCTGCAATTATTATGTGAAGATTAAGCTTTTAAATGAAATGTTGTGGTTTGCTTTCTTTTTAAACACTCCATGGTTCTGAGAAGCTTACGTTTAGAAAAGAGATGTTACTACCATCACAAATGCCCTGATAAAAAAGTGTAAAAGCAGCCAGAAGATGCAAATTTCCTAGGTGGGGACAAAATCTTTAAAAGTCAATACACATCCTGTACTTGTCAAAGCTACACATCCACACAGATCACAGAAACATCCAAGTGCCCCATGCCATTCAGTCTATCCAACAGCAAAAAAGAAGTTAGCCTGAAACCCCACAGCTGTGCTTAAGTTTGCTTTGATCCCTGCTCCTCCCACCAATACCCTATAACTTGCAGTTCTGTAGGGGAACAAAACCAAGCAAACACCAAACAAGCAGCAACAAAAATCCCTTTTCATGCATTTCAGCAACCTACCTGATATTTTCATTGAGGGTGTAAAGTTCGTTGTTCTGCAAGCCTCCCCCTTTGAACACATTTATCACTGCTGTTTGAACACTGCCAAAAAAGAAATGAGACAGCACAATGTCCATAAATAACAGCCACCAGTATGATTTAACACAGAGTGCAATGTGAGCTAGTTGCCAAAAGCTGAGTGGTTATAATGGGGTGGAGAGGTTAATTGCACTTAAATACTTCCACTCTTTTTCTCCTGGAAGTCATCACTCTTATTTACCTACACCTCTCATGGGAGACAGAGCAGAACCAACCTCAAGTTGTGCCCAGAGTTAAGAGCGGGAAAGTCATTACAGAGACACCGTTCACAAAGAACACGTTTAGACCACATACATCTTTAACACAACTGTTTAGCAAATCTCTGCTGTGTGCTGCGGGCTAGTTGCTATGCAGAGACATAGATTTTTGGCAATATCTGCCAAACACATCACATTACATTATCCAGTGATGCTAGCAGAAACCACCCAATCTGCAGCATCTGGCAGGACCCTGGTTGTGCTGGAAGCCATTCTGCAGCCAGCATCACCTCAGTTAGACCCTACTTTCAGCCCTGTTAATGTCTATAAGATGCTGTTGGAGGTTCTTCTAACTCCTCTCACCAGCACAGAGGAATTTATAAAGTAACAGTATACAACATGGTTTAGCAGGTCTAAAGGCTTGCCATGGCTAGTAAAAGGAAGTGTCATTCCCTTAACAGGCACTCCTGTCTGTTACAGGCACTAGTTACAGACCTCAGCTCACTATCGTGGCACAAAACTGCTGTGTTTTTGCTGGGCTACTTCTATGCAACATTACTAAGCTGAGCTAGGTTAACAAGAGAGAGGGATCTGCAGAGCACAAGGCTGTGGCAATAGGAAGGTGAGAACACTCATTTTTGGTAGAAGCAGACCATTACAGAAACACAGAATGGTAGGGGTTGGAAGAGACCTCTGAAGATCATCTAGTCCAACCCCAGTAAGATCAGATTAGATCAGATCAGGACACCTCACTTTTCACCCTACGTACTTTTTTTCCAGTTGCTAATGCTAAATGACACACACTGCAGTCAGGATTTGGCTGTCAATAGGAAATGCTGGTAGAAGCCACAAGCTTGTCAGAGGAACGTGGCTGTGGTAAAAGCTTCATAATATGCAAATAAATGCCTGTTATGCATTAAGAAACTGGCCTTTAATACAGTACTAGGAATGTGTTTTCCTAAATCGTACTTGAAAAATACAACTATTAACAAAGAGCACTTCTGTATGAGCTTCAACACGATCAAGTGCCGAGCCCTGAATCTGGGTTATAACAACCCCATGCAGCGCTACAGGATTGGGGAGGAGTGGCTCAAAAGCTGCCTGGCAGAAAGGGACCTGGGGGTGTTGACTGATACCCAGCTGAACATGAGCCAGCAGTGTGCCCAGGTGGCCAAGATGGCCAGCAACATCCTGGCCTGCATCAGGAATAGTGTGGCCAGCAGAGAAGTCACTGTCCCACTGTACTCAGCACTGGTGAGGCCGCACCTTGAGTACTGTGTTCAGTTTTGGGTGCTGCAGTGTAAGAAAGACATTGAGGTGCTGGAGAGGGTCCAAAGAAGGGCTGCAAAGCTGGTGAAGGGTCTTGAGAATAAGGCTTATAAGGAGCAGCTGGGGGCCTTGGGGTTGTTTTTTCTGAAGAAAAGGAGCCTGATGGGAGACCTTATCACTGTCTCCAACTACCTGAAAGGAAGTTGTAGAGAGATGTGTGTGGGTCTCTTCTCACAAGTTACAACCGATAGGACAAGAGAAAATGGTGTAAAGTTATGCCAGGGGAGGTTTAGGTTACACATTAGGAAAAACTTTTACACTGAAAGGGTTATCAAAGACTGGAAGAGGCTGCCCAAGGAAGTGGTGGAATCACCATCCTTGGTTGTATTTAAAAGCTTTCTAGATGTGGTGCTGATGATCTTGAAGGTCATTTCCAACCATAATGATTCTATGATTCTGTTTTACTTTAAGACAGTACCTCTGAATAATGTTGGCCAATAACAAAGCAGAACACTTCTAGGTCTAATGTTTTTACCTCCACAAAGGCTTTCAATGCTGGCAAAGCTTGGGCAAATTCATGCATGCTTATAAACAGATGAGCTTAGCCACAAATGGTCTGAAGCACAAAGATCAGACCCACATGGTCCTTATCACGGAGCTGCTGCAGGGTGAGAGCTCAGCCCAGGTGGGTCCTGCTCACCTGTTCCAGGCAGAGTTGGAGCTGAGCTGCAGAGCCTGCCGGGCTGCCTGGAATCGTGGAAGGTCACTGAGGACTGGGGAGCTCATGAAGCGAGGTCGAGGCCTTCTGAATGAACCCATCTTGTGGAAATGGAGAGCAAAAGACAGAGCTGCAGTGAACTCCCCAGTCATAGGGTCAGGTGGAGTGAAGCAGGGCCATCAGAAATTCATCTCTTCTCCTGAAGGTTCAAGCATCAATCTCAGTGATGTCAACAAGTCTTCAAACCCAAGGACACAGCCTGCACAAAAAGCAGAGTGAGCCTTAGACGAGCAGTTCCCCACAGCGTCAGGTTGTGACATGGACACATATACCAAGACAATGAAGGAATTGAAGCAGTCCTGCAAAGCAAAGAGGAAGGAAAAGAGCAAGACAGAGAAGGGAGGGGTGAAAACATCCTATCCCATTAACAGCAAATTTGGGTAAATCTTCTGGAGTTCTTCAACACCAGCACCCTTTCTCCTCTTGCCCCTTAAATTATGACCCAACAGAGCCTGCCAGAAATACAACCATGGTCTCTCTCTTTCCATTTCAGTTAGCAAAGATACAAGAACAGTGCCTAAACTCTTTTGACAGAGGCACTTTACAAATACCTTTAAATGCAGTTAGCCATTCAGCCTGATAAAATAGAAGAAACTGGAGAAAAAGAAAACTATATCACCAGAAAGGAACAAAAGATGAAAAATTGAAGAAAATCTGAACAAATAAACACAATGCATTTTTTCTAGAGATGTTGTGCAAGGGAATAAACCCACTCATTATCAGTCTATCACAAAAAGTATACAACAGGGAGCTTCTCCAAAAGAGGTCTGAAAACCAGATATTTTGAGTAAGCAGGACTTCTATGTTTGTTTTGTTTTCTACAGAATGAAAAGTAATTGCTAGGCCAAATATGAAATGCCCATATTTTCCACTCTGATCATCATCTCCATATATGTAGATGAATATGTAGCCCCAAGTAAACCACAGATATAAAAGAAGTTAGCTTGGATAAAAACCACAAAAAAAACTTTGGCAAAGCTTCTGTACTTCGAAATCTTCCCACTTCAGACAAATACAAGCAGTAGATGTAGCTGGCAGTTTGGATAATTAAGATGTGGGAGAAAGGAGAGAGGAGGAAAAAAGAAAAACAAACAAGAAAAAAAACCCAAACTGCACATAAAAGATCTTCTCTTTTCCACTACATCTCCAGCATTTATCTGCTGGCAATTGTAACCACATCAGAAATCAGAGGGAAAAAGCTACAGCACCTGCGAGAGCCAAGGGCAGGCTTTTCTCACAGTGTACCAAAAGGTGTCCAGGAGGTAAAGCGTAAGTATAATGGATGTTTCTTTTGCAAAACAAGTGTTGTGGCAATGTCTGATGTCTCCAAGTTCCAAAGCTGACAATCTGAGGAGCTGAATGAGTGACAGTTCACTTCCCTAGCTTAACAATTTTTACACAGAGAAAAGAGCGTATATTTTTCAGAGCTAGAAAACGCAATGTAAGTGTTACTTCAGATCAGTTGTGAGCATTTAACAGGGCTAGAAAGCAATGGTTAAGATGCCTGTGCATCAGGCTTAACCACAAGCCTCCTCCCATCGCTACTCCAGGTGCTGTAAGTGCATACAAGTATCTTTCTCCCCAGCAATGAAACCATTTTATAAATCTGCATTTCTATTAATTTGACTTAGATCACGTTTCAAGTGGAAAGCTTAAATTCAAAAACGTAAAACGGGAGAACAACCTCTGTGCCTTAATTATACACATACTTAAAGTTTGTGCAGATTCTTTGGCCTGTTCTGTGCAAGCAGTGAAACACCACAGTCAGGAAGGTCTCTCCTGAGCTTGTGCTGTGGATTTATGAGTTGGATTCCACACCAACAGAACCATGGCATTACACAGGGCCCCACAACGAATTTCCTTAACACTTCTTACCAAGAGAATGTGCTTATTTCTGCTCAAGGAAACATACATGTTGTTTTCCTTAATCTCTGTTAAAGTCATCCGATCAGATAATAACAAGGTCTTGACTGCAAAGAACAGATAAGACACCTTACCCGTCCTCCCCCAACCCCAGTTTGCAATCCTGTGTTACTATCAAGTCCACCTTACTTTAGTTTCTTATCAGGAATTTAAGACAAGATTTTCAGGTTTAGAACCAGATTCAGAGCCTTCAGGATTCAAAGATACAAATGGATGATTGGAAAAGTTAGGTGGATTGGGAACTGGCTGAAGGGCAGAATTCAGAGAGTTGTGGTCAGTGGGGCAGCATCCAGTTGAAGGCCCATGGCTAGTGGTGTTCCTCAGGGGTTGATACTGGGTCCAGCCCTGTTCAATATATTCATGAATGACCTGGATGAAGGGACAGAGTGTACCCTTGGCAAGTTTGCTGATGATACAAAACTGGGAGGGGCGGCTCACACACCAGAAGGCTGTACTGCCATTCAGAGAGACCTGGACAGGCTGGAGAGTTGGGCAGGGAGAAACTTAATGAAATTCAACAAGGGCAAGTGTAGGGTACTGCATCTGGGGAAGAACGACCCCATGTATTATTACAGGATGGGGCTGACGTGCTGGAGAGCAGCTCAGGGGAAAAGGACCTGGGAGTCCTGGTGGGTGAGAAGTTAACCATGAGCCAGCAGTATGTCCTTGTGGCCAAGAAGGCCAATGGCATCCTCGGGTGCATTGAGTATGGTCAGCAGATTAAGAGGGGTTATGCTCCCCCTCTACCTTAGTGAGGCCACATCTGGAATACTGTGTCCAATTCTGGGCTCCCCAGCATAAGAAGGACAAGGAACTACTGGAGAGAGTCCAGTGCAGAGCCACTAAGACGATGCGGGGACTGAAGCATCTCCCATATGAGGAAAGGCTGAGAGAGCTGGGTCTGTTCAACCTGGAGAAGAGGAGACTGAGGGGGGGATCTCATTAATGCTTATAAATATCTAAAGGGTGGGGGTCAGGATGATGGGACCAGATTCTTCTAGGTTGTGCCCAGCGACAGGACAAGAGGCAATGGGTACAAACTGGAACACAGGAGGTTCAGCCAAAACATAAGGAAAAACAACTTTACTGTAAGGGTAACAGAGCACTGGAACAGGCTGCTTAGAGAGGTTGTGGAGTCTCCTCCAGAAGCATTCAAAACCTGCCTGGCTATGTTCTTGTGTGATTTTTTCCAGATGATCCTGCTCTGGCAGGGGGGCTGGACTAGATGATCTTCAGAGGTCCCTTCCAACCCCTACCATTCTGTGATTCTGTGAAATCTCTCCTATCTTATCTGAATTGGCAACTGTTAAATAGCGGGCACCACAAACTGTTACTCAGAAAGCAGTCTAGCCACCAAATGGTATCCAAACATAACCAACCCTCACATTACCAGAACTGGAAATGCCAAAGTCTGTGAGAAGAATTATCGTCTCCCCATGCCACAGCCTATTTAAACTATTTTCAGAGTTTCATAAAGCTTGAAGTAACAAAGCACTTACTAGAAAGCAGACTTTTGGCATAAGTACTTAGCAGATCCTGTGCACCTGAAGGTACAACAAAGCACCCAAAGCCAAGCAAACACTTCCATCAGACCAGATTTTCCTTTTACAGCAACTAATTTCCACCAAAAATTTTCTCCAAAGCAAGCCAGTCTTGTAAACACTGCTTCATTTTCACAGGAAAGTTGCATTAGCAGTTTGTACATTCTGCAGTGTGCAATTTTTGGGCTTTTTACTGAGAGAAAGTACACTTGTGGTAAAAAGGCATTAACATAGTTATAGGTTAGTAAGCAGCCCTCAGTATTCAGGCTATTTTAGCTATGGGGAACGAACAGTATTTAGCAAAATGTTGAGGACAGCAAGGAACAATTTTCCTCTTCAGTTTGCCATGAAAACTCTCATAGAATTACATAGAAATATTCAGAAGACATGGAGACTAAAGTGCGGCCACACCAAGATAATCTCTCACTGCCACGAGCAGTGGAGCAATGTTTTATATGGCATCAAGGCATTTTGAACTGCTTGCCGGTTGATATACCCTAAAACATCTCCCACTCTCCTCATCTCACTTAATGACCCTGCATGTCTTTTTAGCAAGAAGCTTGTCATAAGTATATCAGAGAGATAGGTATTGCTCTTCCTTCCCTTCCAGCTGTCCTACCTCCTGGTCGTCTTTTTTTTTTTCCCTTATCCTTCATCATCATATTAAAACCCAGCTACCAAAACCCCCTAGACTTCTAACAAGGGAGATATATTTCCTGTGTAAAACACAGGCCTTCAAGTGAACAAACTCTTCAGAGCTAAAAATCAATGTTCTCAACCGGGGGAGTGAAGCAGGACGATGAGTCAATCTGACAACAGTGTAATTTCATCACTTGTAATTCATCACATCTGAGTAAACACATTTAGGATTAATCTGAGTCTTTAAAGAGAAAAATCAAGCATGGAGACAAGTCCTTTTCCAACACACATAGATACAGGCATTTATAAAAACATTACAGTCATAAAGCTAGGATTTTTTTATCGCTTGTTTTTGGTTAGCAATCAAAACCAACACAGAAATCATTTTTAAATTATTTCATGAAAAGACCTTTCCCTCCCAACAGACCATAATATAGCTGACTGTCTGGAGGAAAGGCAAGATCAGGCAATATACCTAGATCTCCCTTTCTACTACAGAAAGAATAACCCAAAGAAAAAGCAGCAAATCTTCATTACAATCTTGGGCTAAACAAACAAAAAGTCCATGGTAACTGAGATTTAACAAAGGAACAGACCATTTTAAGTTCATCTGATGCCGTCTCTACAAGACTAAGAGCAACATCTGCTAATGGAAGTGACGGGGCAGCTAAAACTACAACTGCTTCTTAGATGAAAACTTGCACCAATACCACTTCACAGCAAATTCACATCAAAAAGCCACAAGTCAAAAAGTAACTTTAAACCAGGTAACAAGGGAAGAAAAAGGAGAGCAGAGAAATCAGTTTTCAATTCATCCAAACAAGCATTTCCCAGGTCTCCTGAAGCACAAGAGAGAATGAGAGGTTATTTGGATATAAGCGATGTTTTGTCATTTAAATTTTTTTTAGTGGTAAAAAACAGCCCTTCATGAAGATATCCACTTGCCCATTCTTCCCTCCTTTGTATGTTTTATACAATTGTGACATTGA